ATCCAATAGAAATAGACAATGCGGGGGAGGAATCACGTGGTACGGGAGCCTTCCTGTAGGACCGCGGAGGGACAGCTCGGTCACTTGAATCGGAGGTAGCGAGGAGGAGACGTGTATCAGAGGCAGTAGCGAGGCCACTTAATTGGTGCCACGCCGCCTCGCAGCCCGACTCGAGGGACGACAGCCGGTCGATGGGACGGGACACTGCTACTGAGTGCCTGACCGAGAGGGCCATGTGGATGCGACCCGGGGACGTGGAAAACTATATCGCGAAGCGACCCGTCATCGCCCGGGCGCGTTCCAAGCGCCGCCCGCACCAAGCCGCAGGCCGACGCTCGCCGCTGGCCTAATTCGGGGTCGCCGCCGTGACCGCCAAGTGGCCGCCACAAAGGGACCTGGAGCAACGCCGTAGCCGCCGCCGCCAGACGCGCTGAGCGTAGGGATGCCCGAACGCGGCACCTGTGAGCTGGATCACGACCGCCTGGGAGCTGAAATGAACTCTGGCCATACCGGCCGTTAATAAGTTAAGATCAGATTTGTTAGTTATAAGTTTATTCATGTCACTGGACTTCACCCATTATTATTATTATTATTATTATTATTATTATTATTATTATTATTATTATTATTATTATTATTACTATTATAAGTAGTAGCATTAAAATAACATATTGAAATGCTAATTATTAGCAGATAATTTATCTACTGTATAATATCTTAATCTAACTGTAACAAGTATTCTATTTCTAGGCCAATGACTCCATCTCGAACAGGTTTTGTTCAGTTTCCCTGGTCCTTTGAGCAAATGCTGACATGGCCCCTTGTTTGCCAGTAATGTACTTCGCTTTCTCCACCCAAGGCATCATATTGACTCGTCAAACGCGATTGTAATTGTATATGACTCAATAATAATAATAATAATAATTATTATTATTATTATTATTATTATTAATATTATTATTATTATTATTACAAAACTGGAACGAATACAGCACACCAGAAAAGTCTCTTTTGGAGTGGTTCTTGGTGCTTGCAACAAAAATTATGATGGTAGCAGCGTGTAACAAAAGAAAACTTAAATACTACACTCACCACAATCATAACATAAGCTTCAAGTGTTATTCCCTTCACTCGTTTCGCAGCGATCCGTTTGCTAACAATAACACTGTTATTCTTAATAGGAGGTCCTGAGTTGGCCCAGCGCAGACTTTCCTTGTGCACTATATTTTCATTTCATACAATGCAGGCTCACGTACTTGCTTAATTAAAACCTAATAACATTTTCTTTATTCCTTTAGCTCATCTCCCCCAGAGCAGTAGCTGCTTGTCAACGGCAGCTTCCGCTCCACCTCCGCAGCCAGTCATTGTTGCAGAAGCATCATGACTGCTGATAATACTAAATGATGCTCTAGTATTGTTGTTATTATTATTATTGTTACAAGATGTATCTTCAATAGACAGAAGGCCACCACCTAATTCTTACACTTTTCTTTCAGCTTCCATAAGAAGCTGCTTTAGGTGACAACCAAGGGATTCAGGAGTTTTAACTGAAATGTTAAAAACAATTCCAATTAAGTTCACAACATAAATTTAATAGAGAGCCCTGTCATAAATATTCTACTATAAAAGCTTTCTTATTATTCTTTGGGAACCATGACATGAGATTATGTATAAAACATTTCATAAGAAAATTGCATAAGTAAGGGAATATTATCAAAAGAAAATTATGCTTCTTATAAATTTAACTTTTATTTAGGTTGTATGAAGATGTCAGACTCAAATGTTCTTGTCTCTTTAAAATTAATAGTAGTTGAACATTGTTGTCAGTGCACAATAAAAGTGGCAATTTCAAAAATTGTCATTGTGTATGAGAATGGTTTTATCCTGAGTGGAGATTATTTCATGGCCAAAGACATATTGCTAACCCACTACCATGTTTTAACTGTGTGTTTTTAAATGTTACATAACAATGATGTAAAAGTTTAGCTTCCTCAGTACATTTCCGTTCTGGAAACTATTAAATGCATGAGATCTTTGTACAGAACAACATCTAAGCTAAAACCAAGAATAAAAATTACAGTTCTACAATGCTGTTTTGATCTTGACATGACATATTAAAGTGTTCTGCAATTTAACTCATGAACACTTCTAATCAACATAGACATTTTATGTTCTAATTTCACAAAATTCAGTCCTGAGAAAGTGGCTATATTAAAATTATTAAGTCTTTCTTAATTGCTTTATTAAAGGTAGTATTTAGTGTAGAGTATAAGCGATAATGCCCCGTTAAGAAGAGGCTCGTCTCTGTGTAGGCAACTCTTCACACTGCCTCACTTACACCTAATTTTACTAAATCCAACAATAGAAAAATAATTAAAAAAGTAATAACGACGATTGTAAATATAAATATCATTTGAAAAATATAACATTTAGCAAAGTGTTTAAGCGGTAATGCCTTGTTAAGAAGAAGCTCGTGTCTGGGTTGGCAGATGTTCGCGCTGCCTCGCTTATATCTACTTTTAAGAAATCCAGCAGAAGAAGATATAGTAATTTTTGAAAAATGTTATTTTGGTAATTGTAAATTGAAATATCATTTGAAGAATATCACATTTAGCGAAGAATGTAAGCGATAATGCCCCGTGAAGAAGATGCTTATCTCTGAGTAGGCAGATCTTTGCGCTGCCTCGCATATATCTAATTTTAAGAAATACAGCAAAACAAGAAAAATGATGTTTAAAAATGTTATTACAACAAGTGTAAATTGAAGTATAGTTTAATGAAAAACACAGTTAGTGAATAGTATCAGCGATAAAACCTCGTTCAGAAGATGCTTGTCTTCGCGTGGCTACGCTCACAACAAATTTTAATAAAACTAGCAATACAAGACAGAGTTTTTTTTAAAAAAATGTTATTATACCAATTATACATTGAAATAACATTTGAAGTATATAACATTTAGTGAATAGTTTATTCGATAATACCTCGTTAAGTAGAGCTCGTCTCTGGGTTGACAGATATTCGCGGTGCCACCTTACAACTAATTTTAAGACAACCACAAACACAAGAAAAATGATTTTTTTAAAACATGTTATTACGTCAATGGTAAATTGAAATATAATTTAAAGAATATAACATTTTCTGAATAGTTTTAGCGATAATGCCTCGTTAAGATGAGGCTCGTCTCTGGGTAAGCAGATATTTGCGCTGCCTCGCTTACATCTAATTTTAAGAAATTAACCAAAACAAGGAAAAGGATTTAAAAAAGTTTTTACGAAAATTGTATATTAAAATATCAATTTAAGAATATAACATTTAATGAATAGTATTATCGATAATGCCTCGTTGAAAAGAGGCATGAGTCTGGGTAGGTAGATCTTCGCGCTGCCTCGCTTACATCTAATTTAAGAAATCCACCAAAACGACAAAAAAGATTGTAAAAACTGGTATGTAAGAAGAACAAGGTACGAAAAATTAAAGGAGCAAACTAGCTTCCCGTAGAAAAAAATAGTTTCGGAAATACATGTCAATAACGGTTTCGGCTACCACGAAAATTAGGGAAAAAAGTATTTTTCGTAGCTTCTCCCTGTAATAACGTATGTGAGTACAACTCTCGACGAGAAAGCAAATGGAGCAAACAAGACTTCAATTCGAATATTAGTTTCGGAAATACACGTGAAACAAAATGGATCCTAGTCCTACTATGTATCCTACAAAATTGTAGCATCTCTCTGTAATCACGTATGTGAGTACAACTCTCGACGAGAAACTAGATAGGCAAACAAGACTTCAATCCGACTATTAGTTTCGGAATTACAGGTGAAAAAAATTAAACCTAAATTCAGATATTTAGAGAAAAGTTTTAACTACACAGTTATTTGGGCGAAATTTACGTTTGTGGCGTGTATTTTGAGATTTACTGAAAAACAAATCTTTTAATCAAAAAATTGGTTTCACTACTGTATTGACCATAAAATTTCGTGCTAATGCCTTGGATTTCTGAAAAATCCGTGTCAGGTCGAAAATCGCAAAATTTCGTCGATCCATGGATTGGTGAAACTATACATTATTAACAAAAGAAAGAATCCTGCATATTTTACAAACTATCCAACATTAATAAATTCTACAAACACAGACGTGTTCCAAAAATTATGTAATTTAAGAAAATGTCATTATTTTCATGTCTAAATAAAAATTGATCCCTGTAGAAGCATTAAAATAAAATAACGAATATTCTATATCTCAACAAAAGTAACATTTTAGTTATATTTAAAATATCTTATCGCCATATCTTCTTAACTATTCAAGTTAGAGCGCTGAAATATGCACGCGAGTCAAGGAGTACAACAGGAGAAAGAAGTTTGCGCGAATTTCGTTAAATTAGGTGTATATTCTGGACAAAAGTCAATTTCGTCGCTTCTTTCTGAAATCACATAGGTGGGTAGAAAACTAGACGAGAACTTGCATAAAGCAAACTAGACCTCAATCCAACTATTACTTTCGGGAATACACGTGAAAGAAGTTTGCGCGAATTTTGTTAAAATAGGTGTAAATTTAGGGAAAAAGGCAATTTCGTCGCTTGTTTCTGAAATCACGTATGCAAATACAACACTTGACGGGAAATTTCATAGAGCTAACTAGACCTAAATCCGACTATTACGTTCGGGAATACACGTGAAAAACGTTTGCGCGAATTATGTTAAATTAGGTGTAAATTTTGAGAAAAAGTAAATTTCGTCACTTCTTTCCGAAATCACGTATGTAGGTAGAAGATTTGATGAGAAATTGCATAAAGCAAACTAGAAATCAATCCGACTATTACTTTCGGAAATAAAGGTGAAAGAATTTTGCGATTTTTTTTAAATAAAGTGCAAAATTTAGGAAAAAAATCAATTTTCCACCTTATTTCTGAAATCACGTATGCAAATACAACACTTGACGGGAAATTTCATAGAGAAACTAGACCTCAATCCGACTATTACGTTCGAGAATACACGTAAAAGAAGTTTGCGCGAATTCTGTTAAATAAGGTGTTAATTTTGAGAAAAAGTCAACTTCGTCACTTCTTTCTTACATCACTTATGTAGGTAGAAGATTTGACGAGAAATTGCATAAAGCAAACTAGACAAAATCTTACTTTCGGGAATAAACGTGAAAGAATTTTGCGCCAAATTTGTTTAATTAGCCGCAAAATTTTAGAAAACACTCATTTTCCCCCTTATTTCTTAAATCACGAATGCAAATAGAACACTTGACGAAAAATTGCATAAATCAAACTCGATCTCAATGCGAATATTAGTTTCGGAAATACAAGAGAAACAAAATTGATCATAAATTCAGATATTTCTTGAAAAAAATAAATTTCGTAGCATTTCTCAGTAAATAAATATGTGAGTTCAACTTTGTACGCGACATTCAATTAATAAAACCAGATTTCATTCCGACTATTAGTTTCGGAAATACATGTGAAACAAAATTGATCCTAAATTCAGATATTTCCTGAAGAAAATGGAAAATATTAAATGTCGTAGATTTTCTCTGAAATTACATATGTGAGTACAACTCTGTACGCAAAATTGAATTATGAAAACCAGACTTCATTCTGACTATTAGTTTCAGAAATACACGTGTAAATATATTGGACCTAAATTCAGATATTTCTTGAAAAAAAATGTAAAAATTAAAATTTTGTATATTTTCTATTGAAATTACGTATGTGTGTTCAACACTGTACGAGAAATTCAAAAATTAAAACCAGACTTTATTCTGACTATTAGTTTCGGATAAACGCATGAAACAAAATTGATCTTAAATTCAAATATTTCGTGAAAAAAATGGAAAAAAGTATATTTAAAGCTTCTCTCTAAAATTACGTATGTAAGTAGAACCCTATACGAGAAATTCAAAAATTAAAACAAGACTTTATTCTGATTATTAGTTTCGGAAATACTCGTGAAACAAAATTGATCCAAAATTTAGATGATTCGTGAAAAAACATTATTGATCCTAAATTCAGACATATCCCAAAGAAAAAATGGAAAATATTAAATTTCGTAGCTTCTCTCTGAAATTACGTATGTGAGTACAACCCTGTACGAGAAATTCAATAATAACACCAGATTTCATTCTGACTATTAGTTTCAGAAAAACGCGTGAAACAAAATTGATCCTAAATTCAGACATTTCGTAAAAAAATGGAAAAAAGTGAATTTCGTAAAATTTCTCTGAAATTACGTATGTAAATACTACTCTGTACGAGAAAATCAAGAAACTAAAAATAAACATTATTCTGCTTATTAGTTTCGAAAATACTCGTGAAACAAAATTGATCATAAATTTAGATGATTCGTGAAAAAAATGGAAAAAAATTAATTTCGTAGGATTTTTCTGAAATTACGTATGTGAGTACTACCCTGTACGAGAAATTCAAAAATTAAAACTAGACTTAATTCTGACTATTAGTTTCGGAAAAACGCGTGAAATGAAATTGATCCTAAATTCAGACATTTGGTGAAAAAAATGGAAAAAAGTAAACTTCGTAGCTTCTTTC